CATTATCATAGCGGTGATCTCTCTATTATAATCCTTGGTGACATCATTGATAATTGCTAGTGTTGCAGGAAAGAATAAATGACTAGTCTTGATTCTCAAAATAATAATAAAAAAAAAACCAAAAAAAAAAAAACACTTCACTTGTTTGGATTCGCAGCCTTTTTAACTCGAGTTATTAAGCCCCTAGGGATGTGTTTACACCTAGTGCCCTAAAACTGTCTGGTTTGGAAGTCCTTAGCCCAATACTTTCTATATGGGTTAATTAGAAAGCTTAAGGAACCTAGACATTGCACAGTTAAGGAAAATAAGAAAAAAAAGACTTATTTGGATTCGTAACATTTTCAACTCGAGTTATTAAGCCCGCAGGGGTGTCTTCACACCTAGTGCCCTAAAGCCGTCTGGTTTGGGAGTAATTGGCCCAATGTTTGCTACAAGGGTTGATTAGAAAGCTTAATGGATCAGGACATTGCACAGTCTTTCAAAAAAAAAAAGAATCCCAGTTACAAAAGTTTAATCTTGTCTGTATATGTTGGGGGTTATTATGAGTTACATTAGGCTATTATAGTGGTTAGTTAACTAGTTATGGACACTGCACGTTACACTGAGGTTACTGATGATGTGTTCTACTAATATTCACAAGTACATAGAACTTGATTTGTGTAATACTGAATTGCGGTTTGTACTCAATAGATTCCTTCATACTTGTCTACTGTCTTTTCAATGACTCATCATGTCTTAATATTGCACTGTAGTGGCACATGAGTTGATTCTTGAGTGGTGCAGTGTGATTGACTGTTGCTGGATAGACGTGAATATGTTAATGTTTGTGGTATCATTTCTGGAAACCCTCACAAGACTTTACTCGTCCACTTGAGGTAACTTTGTGGTTTAAAGGCTTGTTGCATATGCTAAATGCAACCGTTCTTCCCACGAAAGAGGAGATAGCTAGATTTTGTTTAATTTTTTTTTTCTTTTCTTTCCTTCTTTATTCCTTGCTTGAGGGCTAGCAAGTTGTAAGTTGGGGGATGTGATTAAGGCCGAATTGTGCAACACTGAGACCGTTAATTAGGATCTCTTAACTTTACTTGCTTGTCAAAATATATATTTTATGCCTGTTTAATGTTAATCAGGTTGTACATACACTACAAGAAAAAACACTTTTGGCGACCACCTATTTTTTTTGGTCGCAAATAGTCCACTTTCTGCGACTAAAATTTAACTTTTGGTGACCACAATTTTTTGGTCGCGGAAAATCACCTTTTGGCGACCAAAAAAAAAAGTTGGTCGCGGAAAGTATACTATTGGCGACCAAAGGCTTTTTTGGTCGCCGGATTTGTAGCATTTTCAACTCGAGTTATTAAGCCCGCAGGGGTGTCTTCACACCTAGTGCCCTAAAGCCGTCTGGTTTGGGAGTCATTGGCCCAATGTTTGCTACAAGGGTTGATTAGAAAGCTTAATGGATCAGGACATTGCACAGTCTTTCAAAAAAAAAAAAAAAATTAAGAATCCCAGTTACAAAAGTTTAATCTTGTCTGTATATGTTGGGGGTTATTATGAGTTACATTAGGCTATTATGGTGGTCAGTTAACTAGTTATGGAGACTGCACGTTACACTGAGGTTACTGATGATATGTTCTACTAATATTCACAAGTACATAGAACTTGATTTGTGTAATACTGAATTACGGTCTGTACTCAATAGATTCCTTCATACTTGTCTACTATCTCTTCAATGACTCATCATGTCTTAATATTGCACTGTAGTGGCACATGAGTTAATTCTTGAGTGGTGTAGTGTGATTGATTGTTGCTGGATAGACGTGAATATGTTAATGTTTGTGGGTATCATTTCTGGAAACCTTCACGAGACTTTACTCGTCCACTTGAGGTAACTTTGTGGTTTAAAGGCTTGTTACATATGCTAAATGCAACCATTCTTCCCACGAAAGAGGAGATAGCTAGATTTTGTTTAATTTTTTTTTTTTCTTTTCTTTCCTTCTTTATTCCTTGCTTGAGGACTAGCATGTTGTAAGTTGGGGGTGTGATTAAGGCCGAATTGTGCAACACTGAGGCCGTTAATTAGGATCTCTTAACTTTACTTGCTTGTCAAACTATATATTTTATGTTTGTTTAATGTTAATCAGGTTGTACATAGTGAGAGTATAAAATAAGCAAAAATGCAGGACTTGTGGAGTAAAGTGCTTCCCGTACGTGCGTTGACTTTTTTCGTATGTGCGGTAGAACCTCAAAAATCGTGCCGCTGTTTTTAAACTTGTTTGAAAAACAACAAAGGTATAAAAAGAAGAAAAAGGGAGGCTGGATTAGGGTTCTGAAATTTTGAAGGAAAAAGAGGAGGCTAGGGTTTGGAAAAGGTGGCTAGGGTTCATCTCTTTCACCTTTTCCACCTCTTCCCACTCCTCCATGAGTGACTAAGCTCTTCTTTTCTAGGGTTTTGATGAAACCCTAGGTATGTAATTAGGTTTTCTTTTTTGATTTTTGATTATGTAAATATTTGAACAATTGTACGGTGTTTTAGAAGTTTCATATATATTTTTTTCACTATTTCTTTAAGTGTTCGACTTTCTGTGATTGTTGAATATTTTTCATACAATAGTTTTCTATTCTTTCATATTTAAGGTATGAGACGAGCCATATTACGAGGGACGAGTCGTGTCGTTACCCTAGTTTAGAGCGAACGATTCATACTACTTGAGATGGTTCGTGCCCGTACATTGAACGTGATGATTTTCTTGATAAATGCTTCAAACTTGTAGTTGCGAAGTATTATTCCATTTGAACCGTAGTATAATTGATTTCAAATTGAAACCTTATTTACATAACTAGTGGTGAACTCATTGCCTTAGGTTTTTTCCCAAATCAGTAAATTCATCTTTATTTATAATTGCTAGTTTATGCGCTTTATTTAATTTAATTATTATTAGTTTATGAATCCCTCAATCTTTTTAATCAAAATTAATTTATGAATCTAGAAATTAAATTAGTTTAATTTCTCGTTTATCTTGGTGGATCGATATCTAAAACTTGTCATTATTCCAAAAGAATTTAATATAATTTAATTTTTATATTTGGTGTATAAAATGACCCATCAATTTCTAATCCACTTCTCAATATGAAACAAGATTATTATTAAGTAGGAATCCCAATTTCCCTATCGCCAATTGTGAATCTCACAAATCTAAGCCATTTAGCAGACAAACTAGTTGAAATATAGAAGTGTTGTTGCTAGAATTCAGTTCTGTGATTTTTTTCACCCCCCAATAGACAGTTTATATGGAAAAATGTTTGAGACTATTTCGGAGATGAGCCCAGCACCCCGAAAGTGATCCTAACTCTTTATACATGTGTGGAGTTCACTTATGTATATGTGAAATCTACATTTTGAGTGATTCAGATTTATGAGAATCTTGTAAGGATCTTGTGAAGGTGAGGGCCTCAATCATTCCTTGTCTTATATATATATTGCTCCTATCTCAATTTTTTTTTAAAAGTATTTATTCACTTTTTATTTTGGGTATTAAAATCTTTTAGATTTCCAAAATTACCCATTATACACAAGTACAAACACATTTTAAAATTTAAAATCAATGAGTGTTATGTAAAAATATTTTAAATTTTGAATTAATAAGTTGGATTTCCCAAACTAAATAAGTAAATAAATTGGGACAGGGAGAATATCATTAAAAAAAAAACACCAAACAGTCCCTAAATCGAACACTACCTCTTTCCAAATCAAAAGATGAATTTTGGGGCCATGAATAGCACCTGGAAATTAAAAGTAGATCAAAAGCTACAAATTAAACAACTTTTTTATTTTTTATTTGTCAAAATGATTAAGTAATTCTCAGTTGAGCAAATATTCACTGGGTTAATTACACTTTCACCCTTATAATTTGATTTAAATTTTACTTTAAAACAATTTGGTCTTTAAATTTGATCATTCTGTCTAAATTTTTCTTAATTTTTCTTACATGTCATTTTAGAAAATTGCCAAGTGTAACAGAACTAATTTTAACCTCAAATTTGGACGGAAAGACTAATTTAAAGCTAGACTTAAAATGTAAGAACTAAGTTATTCAATTTGAAATAATAGGAATTAAAATAAAGTTTGAGTCAAATTATAAGGGAAACAAGTGTAATTAACTCATATTCACTTCATGGTGCCTTGATAATCTTATACATAAATAGATTTGTTATCCAATTTATTAACATTAGGTATAAAGATAAAGATAGTAAAGTCCACATCAATATATACATGTGAGATTCATTACTTTGTATCTAATGAATTTTAAAAAATCGCGTAAAAAATTAATGTATAAAATTTTAACAAATGCTTTAATTTTTCAAAAAACATTGAGCCCAAGAGTTAAGAATAACAAATTCTTCATTACGTAAAATGGAATAATCACTTAGAATAATGAAACAGATTATATTTGTCGAGAAGTGCAAAATCATATAGATACGATCCTCATTGTACATCTTGATTAATTGGATCGTTTCTTTGTTGACTCCTATACGAAAATTTTGTATTTGTAAATGTGTCTCCGAGTATTCCTTGATCATTTCCTTCCAGAGAAGGGGTTCCTCTAATTCTATGAATTTTTCTAGAATATCCCTCTCTTGAATATCATTCAAATAAGATTTGGATTGCTTAGTATTCCACTAATTAATAACCCAAGATTCCATACTTTTATTAAATGAGAGAGAAATCCACAAGCGCAAAAATACTATAGATGCAAGATAGAGAAAGTCAATTTTTCTTTTTTGCCATTTTTTATTTGTAAATTGTTAATGAACCCACCTCATTCGCAACCCTACGCAACTTGAGTATTCAAATTACAAATTTTGTTGGGAAAAATATTTTCTCGAGCAAAAGCATGCTCTCAAATAAAATTTGCAAATACATAAAAGAGAAATAATATAAAATATTCAAAAAAGATAAATTATTCACTATAAATAACAGAGAATACGATGACAAAAATAAAATTATATAAAACTCAAGACCCACACTGGAGAGTAATTGAGTCCGTGAAGCCTAATCACTTATTGGGGTGTTTATTTTCAACGTGAGAATAAGACTGGATTAACAAAAGTAGAGCTTTGATTTTATTAAATTAAAACCATATTCAACTCATTAATAGGAAGGAATTCAACTAATGTAATACATGGGGTCGGGTAGCTTGAAAGTCCGATTGCCAATATGGGTTCCCAAGATGTCACTCCATTGATCACCCATGTTTCCAAGAACTCTGTATCCTTCATTCTCTAGCTTCTTCCTTTGACTTGATTTATATGTCACTGCTGTCCCTGTATATGCGGATCCTCTGCAACCATTTGTAAATATATATATATATATATCTTAAGATTGAATTTAACAAATTTTTTTTTTTAATGACCATTTAAAACTGAATAATATTATGGGTGTGCCTGAAATTGATTTTTTTAGTGAGTTTTTATTTTTGTTTTCAATGAATTGTTTTTAAAAAATTAAATATTTCATACTTTTAGGTTCTATTTAACTAGATTGACTGAAAAGAAAAAAGCCCACTAAAAACTTAGAAAAGCCAATTTTTTTGTCTACCTTTCTTTTTTTAGAAAAAAAAAAATTACATTTTAAATCCTTCTACATATAGACGAACTTAAAAAAATAAATTTTTTGACACAAATTTGTAAAAAAGATGAAAAGGTCACATTTTTAAAGAAATTTTTTGTCTTTAGTAATATTTTTACATAATTTTGTCTACTTTTTTAGGTCCATCTAGTGTAAAAGAATTTAAAAAGTAATTAAAAAAATTAAAAATTTAAAAGAAAACATCACTGTAGATGGAAAAAAAAAGAAGCAAAAAACCTTTTTTTTGGAATAAGGATGGAACTTATCAATCTAGATTTTTTCTGGGTGAGTGGTTGTATGATGAAAATTAAATTTGTCTAGTGTGGAGTTCATATGTAAGATAAAATCACCAGATAAGTCTGATTTTTTTGGTCTTTAGTTGGCTCTTTTTTAAAATTCTCAATTTATTTTTTTCCTTTTTTAGTTAGTCTATTCGGATGCAACTAAAAAGTGTCAAGTTTTTTGACACATTTTTAAAAAAATTCACCAAATACAATTACATTTTTATCAAATAATTTTCCTAATAAATTCAATATTCAAATTTCAATTCTTAATCTTTCTGATCACACAAGTTGCCAACTAATAATAATCTAATCCAGATTGAATTGGAAACACACCCACAACATAATATTCACACATATTTAGCCCGCATGAAAGGGCGTGTTCGACGCATAAAAAATAAGTTACTTTTCTCTAATAATAACTTAATTTTTAGATGAGTTGATAATTAATGGTGTGAAAGAAAGTATTAGGGGATATATAAAACTAAAACAGAAAGAAGAGTGAAGTAGGGAATGTTCGCTTACTTCAATAAGAGCTTCTCAAACGTATGGTATCCAACTTTCTTCAAGTTGATTGCAGTGACATTTCCTTGGCTCTCTGGTCTTCCAGTTAGGAAGACAATCCTAAACTTAAGAGACAGTAGCTTTTTGTATAGTCTCAGACTCTCTGGCAATGCTAGTGCTTTTCCCTCATTCACCCATTTGCTGAAACGTGTTGCATTGTATAGCTCTACCCTGAAATTTCATTGTTTTATATTAATTGTTGTCATAGTAACTAGTTCAACATCTTTAAGGGAAAGAAAAAAAAAAGAAAAAAGAAGCAAATTATACTCATGTTCTCTTTAATTTGTTTCTTGTGTTAAATTGGGCACATAATTCTAATTAGGGATGAGCACTAACTCCTCAACCTGCCTACCCCTCAATTTTAAGGATTTAAAGTTGATATTTAAATCCACAAGGCCAAACTATAATAACTTTTAAACTCGTTATCAGATGCACTAAACTTGGGAATAGTCCTTTAGCCTCTAATCCTATCTGATTATTAATATATTTTATATATTACATAAATGTGTGTATATAATTTGTTTAAATTAAAGAAGATACAACTGAGAGAGGAAAACTAGGTCCCCAAAATCTAAACTTAGAATTTAATGAACACAAATTAAAAGTTTATCCCAATTAAAAATACAAAAGTACTATTTTATATTTTATAATACATGTTTTCTATTTAATCTATGAATTTATTGGAAAAACTTTGGATTGAATCAGGATTCTATAATCTTATAAGATTCAATTATCAGGATCGAAAGATTTGTAAGGAATTTTTAACAAGATTTAGATCGATTGTATCCAAATAGATCATGAGATCATAGGATTTTGTGATTCCAACCAAAGTGGTCACTAGTAGGGGCATACCCATTGCAAAAATTAAACAACTTTTCAAATCAAATAAAAAGATGTAAAAATTAATGGAGTCTGATATGCAAAAGACACTTTAAAGTTATGCAAAGGCATATTCACTTCAAAGTTTAATCCATTTTCTTATTACTACCTTTTTTGCTGCATGTATTCCATGCAATAACAGAAGCTCTAAAAGATGAAATTAATATAAAAGATAGATACAAAATAATGTGGTCAAATATGCAAAGGCAATTCAAAAGTTTTAAATCATTTTCTGATTAGAAAAAGTTTTAAATCATATGCTCTAAAGGTGAAGAAAGGACTAAAAGATGCATACAAAAATAATGGAGCCAAAAATTTTAGTAATATGCAAAGGCACTTCAAAGTTTTCTTCTTTCCATCCAGGGTTAAAAACACATGAAATACTATCTTATCATATATTTCAAGGGAGAATCAAAGTTTTCTTCTTTCCATCCAGGGTTAAAAACACATGAAATACTATCTTATCATATATTTCAAGGGAGAATTTCAAATAAATAGTAAATGTATAAAGTAATTACGAATTAAGGTATAAGCCAAAAATAAGTGAGAGTCATGTTCCAGAAGAGTTATTTGGTATGTTTATCTCTTTTTATATGATCGTATGTTTGGTATGTTTGTCTCTTTTTACATGATCGTATGTCTGGTATGTCTCTTTTTACATGATCGTATGTCTATCCAATAATAAGAGGACATATGACCAGCTTGTCTAAAAAATAACGGACAAAATGGTCATGTGTCTTTAAATCTATACTATTATAATGACACATCAGATTCAACGAACTTGCTAGATGATTTCTCTAGTCCCGTGGCATAACTCTAACTTGCATTTCATAAATTTGAAATTACTTTTTCTAATTGCCAAATTCTCCCTATTTTCAACTTGCAATACCATGTTACATTTACTTGAAAAAATCTACCTGTACAACAACACATAATGCACAAATATATGAAACAAAATGTTCACGACTATCAATGAGAATATTTTGAGTCAAATCTGACTCTCATTCTATGAAATCCCTGTATTTACTTACCCAAACCCATGGTGAGCATAGTAAGGTAGATTAGAGAGAGTGGTCTCATCTATGTCAAAGACCCATACATCCTTGCCGTCACCAGCAAGCTTGAGGCTCTGGGCATAGCTCAAAGCCTGGTCTACAACAGCCTTTGAATCTTTCCGGTACTGTTTGCCGAGCATGTAGTGTCCAATGTATTTTTTGCATGATCGTGGCACTGTTTTCCAGTCAATAATGTTGTGAGCTTCGACACCGAATCGCCAGCTCAGGCACGACAAGCCATGAACATGGGTCCCAGCAGAGCCGCACTGTGGCCGGAGAGGGTGAATTTGGTGGACAACTTCCACTTCTGGTGATCCATTGGTGGCTACTACAAGTGTGCCAAGAAAGAGTAGTAGTGACAGCAACCCCATGTTAGAAAGTATTGGTTGAGTTTGGAAAAATGTCAACATCCAACCAAAGTGGCTATTAGCCTCTTTAAATGGTAGTCTCTGTCTTGATGGGCAGGATCCTCTTTGAAATCACTATATTGAAATTACTATTTTTCTGTATGATAAAGAATTTCAAAATACTGAAATTTATGAATGCAATCGTGTGACTGGAAATTAAGTAATTTAAAAATATTATGTGACATTATTTATGTGATATTCTCAACTAATAAAAAGTGCCAACATATATGTAAAATCATACTTTATTTTCTAACTACCAAATAAAGATAAGTAATCAAATTTCACTCATAAAATTCCTCATGGTGCATCTCTAATTTACCTAAAAATTTATCAACTACCCACATGGCAGCCCACTTTGATATGGAGGTTGTTTTCATTTAAAAAGACAAAAAAAATATATATTCCTCATTATAACTATATTCCTTAATATACTAAAATCATACTTTATTTTCTAACTACCTAACAAAGATGAGTAATCAAGTTTGTTATAAAATTACTCATTATATGAAGGGTGCCTCTCCAATTTATCCAAAAATTAACCAACTACCCACATGGCAGCCCACCTCAATATAAAGGAATATATATATATATATATATACAATAATCAACCCTTAACATAATTCAATTAATTAAGTTATCAATATATATTACTCATATAAAGAGAGAACAAATTCATATGAGTCTAAATAAGTGATTATTAATAAACTCACGTACATACTCCCCAAAAAAAAGCCTCCCATAAATAAGTGATTACTAATTAATTCACATAAACAATTTACAAGAAGAATAATTTCATCTTTAAATATTAACATTTCTGATTCAATTTGTTTGTTAGAGTTTTCAAAAGAAAAAAAAAAACTAGAGTAAAAAATTTCAGAAATTAGTTTAGTAAAAAAAAAAAAAATTTAAAATGTGTTTTTTAGTATTTATTTTTGTCAAACTAGTTTCTAATTTTTAGAAGGAAAAAAAAATAGAACGCAAATTCTAAAAACTCAACCAAACAGAATTATATATATGTATATATATCTATTTGGAGCACATATTTATTTATTTTTTATTTTATTTTTTAGTTCTGTCTATCATGGTGCCACAATCCTAAAACATATAGTACCTATTTTCAAAAATAACAAATTGATAACCTAATTAATTGGAACGTTATTTTTCCTTAAAACCTTCCACTTTGAGGTGGGTTTTTAGGTAAATTAGGAAGGTTACTAGTCTTACTGCGTAGGCAATAATATCATAAAATATTTTAAAATTACTAAATAATTACCCATAAATATACAATCGATTATTTTTTTCTTTACACTTCAATTTTTTAGAATAAATAACAAATTAGTGGTACTTTTCAAAAATAATTACAAATTTATGGTAAACTTCACACGCTTCAATGATTAAAATCATAATTTTTTTTGTAAATCTGTAATTATTTTTAAGAAGTACCATTGATTCGTAAATTTTTCAATTTTTGACAGGGTACAAGAAGTTTTTCTTAACCCACCCTCCAATACTCGAAAAAAAAAATAAATAAATAAAAAGTTCCGATCTCATGGATGAGAGTAGCTAGTTTAATATGCATTAAATTACTAGGGTACTTTTTGACAAATAAGGAGGCTTGTGGGGGACACAACAGCCACTGTTTTGTAGTAAAATTGGCTTATTTCAGGGTTTATTTTGATAACTTGAACCGTTCAAATTTTAAAATATTTTAAGTAGACCATACTTACAAAAACTCAAGTTAATCGAATATCGTTAACCTTTTTATCTACTCACATTTGTATTCATTTTAATACTTTAAATCACAATTATTATTTATTTTTGCAGATACAAATGTGAGTAGATGAATGGATAAACGATATCCGATCTTGATTTTTTACAAATCTATTTGATATAACTTAAAATGTGAACCATTCGAATTATCGAAATGAATCCGAAATGGGCCTATTTCACTGCTGGTTGCTGTGCAGCAGCCACCCCACACCCAAATATTTAAACTGGATGGGTGATGGGTTGTTGTTTGGGGGGTTGTGGGAGAATGAGCGGATGAATCATGAATATGATTTTTATATGGGTATAATCGGCGTGGTTTGATTTTTTTTTTTAAAATTACTTTTGGACTTATTTGTTTTTAAAAAAAAAATTTAAATGCAACTAATTTAGAATTTAGATGTTTCTAAAAAGTTTTAAAAAATTTACTAGAATGTGGGGAAAAAATGCTAAAAACATAAGAAAATTCGAAAAAAACACATGTATTTTTATATAATTTTTCTATCGTTTTAGTTAACTTTTTTAATATTCTAGTCAATTTTTTTTTTTTTTTCTCAAAAACATTTAGATTAGGTGTATCTATAGAAAAAAAAAAATTGACCAAAAAAATTTGAAAACCAATTTTCAAAAAAAAAAAAAAAAAAAAAAACAAGAAAGAAAACTAGACAGACTGTTGTGAATCAGTAAACATTAGGAGTTAGGTGTTAATGAGTGAGGAGAAATCAACCAGGGAGAGTGTCATCCAAATACTGGCAGCAAGAGAATTAATCCATCTTCACTCCAAAGTTGCTCATAATTCCAACAATAGAAGTTAGGAGAAAAAATGACTGCTCTTTGAAAATAAGATATTATCTATCTATTCCATGGGGAGTTACAAATCATTATTGAAAAAAAAAAAAAGTTTGTCATGATGAATATTATTTGCTTAATTCTTCCATTTTTTATCCTTCACTTTTATCTACCAATTCGTCTACTTTATATTTCTATAAAACAACAAAACTCAATAAAAATACGTCAAAAAATTATTAAGAATTTTCAACATAAAATAAAATCAATAAAAAATTCACAAAATTCAAATATGTACCTGAATTCTGTTGGTGGTGGTCCCTAATTGAATCCTATAAAGAAAAATTTTAAAATGACCACAAAGAGTGAAAAAGAATATTTGCACCTAATTTATAGAGAAATTATTTTCAAATAGAGAAGCATACATATAGAAAGATAGATTGGTTACATAACATAACAATTTTGAATTTTGAATTTGGGTTTTCTTAGATAGATATTGAGTTTTCTTATTTTATAGATATAGATAAAGAAAAATGGTGATACTCATCTTTTTCAAAATCATAAATTATGGGAAAAACATATATTGAGTTTTTTTAATTTATAGATACAGATAAAGAAAAATGGTGATACTCATCTTTTTCAAATTCATAAATCATGGGGTAGATAGATATTGAGTTTTCTTATTTTATAGATATAGATAAAGAAAAATGGTGATACTCATCTTTTTCAAATTCATAAATCATAGGATAGATAGATATGAGTTTTCTTATTATAAATATAGATAAAGAAATATGGTGATACTCATCTTTTTCAAATTCATAAATGATGGGATAATAGTGTCGTCAATTTTGAATTTTAAATTTTATTGCTTGATGGGCTAACCAATTAATTTTTTTTTTTTTTTTAAAAAATACAAAAATCAAGAATTTTTGTTTCAAGTGTTGAAGTTTTCACAGCCTACCTTCTTAAAATCTCACTTTTGTACAATATATATATATAGATTTTAATTTATTTTTGACAAATTATTCACACAAAAAAAAAAAAGAAAAAAAAAGAAAAAAAAGAAGAGGAAGATGAACGAATCTAATGGGCCGAATGGATTGGAGAGAATTTGTTCACCCTAATCTACAATGATTTCGAGAGGTCTTGGGGGGCTTACTATACACGGCTGAATTGCAAATTATTTATCCCTTGTTTGAATCTCTTTGAAGCTCTTAGCTTCTTCATTTTCGCATTTTTTTTCATAGCTTGATAATGTGATGGTGGTACTTTAATATAAATAGGATATGACTTCTTCTTAATTGGGTAAACCACTATAGCCACAAAAGACAAAATAATCACAATGCGTTGAATGTGTTGTTTAGCTAGTTGGTTTGTGGCTAAAATAGTCACAAAAATAAAATAGACTATTTTAGTTACAACAAACAAAACATCACATTCAACCCATAATCATTATACTATTCTCTTATAAAAAAAGTCAAAAAAATCAAAAAGCCTTTCCCAAATCAAGTTTTTTAGCCCAAGCTAAAATAACCAAAAAAGTCAAAAAGCTAAAAAGCCAACCCACTTCCCAAACGGAGGCATAATATTTGAATTTAATTCCCATCAAGTTCTATTAAAAATAAATTTTAGTAAAATCCTCACAAAAAATAATTTTTTGTAATAATTTTTTACATGTCGTTAAAAATTAATAATTAGTGACTTTTTTTTTGTCACGATTTTCATAAACTGTAGCTAAAACTTACAATTAGTGACTTTTTTTGTAATAAAATTTTTAAACTGTCGTTGAAAGTTGTAAATTAGTAACATTTTTTTGTGATAATTTTTTTAAACTATCGTTAAAACTTAGTGACATTTTTTGTAATAAAATTTTAAATTGTCACTGAAAATTAACAATTAGTGATATTTTGCAATAGTATTTAATGAAAAATGTCATTAATTATTATATGATATATTGGATAATAAATCCACTTATTATAACTTGCACGTAAGTTCTAATTTTTAATTCACTATTTGGATCAGAGGTCGAGTTTATTATAGGTTCATTTTATTGATTTAAATTGTTCAATTTTTATTACCTTTAAGTGATAACTTTTTTCATTGACTATAATGACTAAAATATTATTTCTTCATGAGTTTTACTTAAAGAAAATAAATACTGCTTTAGATTAAAAACAAATAAAAAAATTTAGGCTTTAAATTGATAAAATTAAAAATTCAAGGTTTAATTTGTTACAAGGGTCAAATTTTTTTAATTTTTTTTTTATTTTTTTTTTGTAATTTCCCCAAAAAATAATTACAAAAACATGAAATACATTATAAAAATTGAGGTAAATTACAAATATATTCCCGGGATTTGCTTAAAATACAAATTGATCCGATAGTTCTAAAAAAGGTTTGGGCTTGTTAGGCCTATTTTGGGACC